GGGTGGGAGGTTGGGTCGGTGAGGGAGATTGTGGCGTTGTGGAGGTTGGGCGAGGATGATGGGGAGGAGGGGGTGGGAGGGGACGCGTCGATGATGGTTGAAGGGTGATTCGCTTGTTCGTTGGTAGTCTACACCATATGTAGGTAGACGTGCACTTGTTCTTGCTCTGTTTCTTGTTCTCCGATTTGGTTCGCAATCAATGGATGGATGTACGCGGGCGCGGGGATGAGACGCAAATGATGTATTGAAAATAGCTACAAGACGCGATGTAGAGATACAGGTGGAATATCGACGCGTATATATTCCTTGGCCTCTACCAACCTCGCTCAGGCGTTGCGTCCAATCTCCTGCACGCGCGCGCCTCGGGGGCAGCGCATGACCAGTACGGTCTCGGCGGAGAGATCGCACTTCGGATAGCCGGCGTAGTATGCGTTGTAGCCTGTAGCATATGTGAGCTCAGTGATAGCAGAGGGATATGCAGCAGACGCACCGTATATGCACATATACTGTCCCATCGAAAGTACTGTCATTGGCGCTCAACTACCGCAACCCGTCCTTCTCCTGCATTACCATCCTATGAAAAGTTATCTAGCGGCTGACCACCTCCCGCGGAATGGCGCGCACAGCGAGTCGGATGTCAGTGTCGCAAAGCGCACTCGTAGCACTGGTGATGACGTAGGACGGGCGACGTTGGCGGCGTCGCAAGTCCTCGCATACAGCACAGCAGGGACTCAAGACATGAGCACAGACGTGATGAAGCAGGCAGTTCCGAGGACGGTGGACATGGGGCACCCGCGATGATGACCGTTTGAAGTGCAAACGCGCATATGCATTTCGAAATGCTAGCGACTCGCGGCAAACTCCGTACTCTCCTGCTTCACGGCTGCCTGCTTATCTTACTCAAACCGATAGCAGAAGATCCAAACTCAGCTCAAATGGCATCACGGTAGAAGCAGTGACCTCTCTGACGACGAAGCCGGGCAAAAAGAAACACAAATATAGCAATCTAAATATACTCATACACCACCCCACGCTCATACG